CTGGCCCTTGGCGAGAGGGATCTCGCGATGGAGCGTGGTGATGCATGTAGCTCTTCCCGTGACGGCGACCGCGAGACGTGTTGCGCATAGTGCTCAGGAGACGCAATAAGCGCTTCGTGAGAGGGCACTGGGCGAATGCTCTGTGCAGATCGTTTGGGAGAGACTACTGCACTTCCATCTTTCCAGGCGAACCGATCAGCAACAGCGGCAGCAAAGGGATCGGCAGTCTGTGCTTCAGTCTTGGTAGGTGCGCGTTCGATGACTGGTGCAGCAGCCGGCACGGCTGGAGCTTGAGGTACCGGGGCTGGCTCAGTAGGGGCCGTCGCTGCCCGCACTGGTGTTGGTGCTTGCACGGGAGCGGGTGTTGGCACTTGCGCGGAGGCTGATGCCGGTGCCGGTGTTGGTGCTGATGCCGACGCCAGCGCTGGTGCAGGTTCTGCTCTCGGAGGCGCCACGGGTTCATGCGCGTCAAGGCTCGCCTTGGATGGCTTCTTACCGGCAGCCTTGGATGTGTCGTCGCCCCGCGCGTGGTCTGCAGGGCGTTCCTGGGCTGTGTACGGAGCGGTGGGGGCGACGGGCGCAGCGGCGGAGGGCGCCTTCTGCTCCAGCTGCTCAGCGGCGACCTGGAGAGAGATGGGCTCCTGCCTTGGTGAGATGACCGTGACCTTCTCAACCGGTGCTGCAGGCGCTTCGGCCGGCTTGGAAGGGGTGGCTGGCTGAGGTTGAGGGATTGGTGGTGCAGGTACTGGCGCCGCCTCTGTCGATGCTGGCACTATAGCAATTGGGACTGAAGTCGGTGGCGCTTCGGCGGCAGACTCCGGCTCTTGCGTCAATACTGGTGCGGCAGATGTCACTGGTGAAGGTTCAGGAGACGGTTTGGCTTCATGAGCGAGAGGGGATGGATGGTGCACTGGGTGTACCGGAGGTGATGCTGCAACTTCTGCGGCATTAGCAGCGGCCTCGCGTACTGGGGACTCAGCGACAGGGCTGGGCAGAGAATGCCCTTCGTCCGCTGACGCCTGCGCCAACGCTTCCTTGCGTAGCGAATTCTTCGACTCCGAGCGAGGAAGGCCCTTTAGAGAGAAACCTGACGAGTTACGCCGGAGCATAGTGCCCATTCTGCTGAGGGCGCGAAGGCCGGTTCGTGATGGCGAGGGAGAGGACGGTCGCACGCCGGGCGTTGGCGGCGGAGAGGAGGCGGGCGTGCTGGTTGTTGAGGCCATGATTATGGGGCTCGAGTCTCGTAGTGGGCGTGAGTATGGCCAGAGGATAAGGCGGGATGTGTCTCCAGGACGTAGATGAGGACTCGTATCGCAAGCAAGACAGATATATATGATAGGAATTATCGCCTGCCTGACGACTACATTGCGGACAAGGGCAGTTGTACACGCTCTCGGATGAAATGCATGCCATGGCTGCGTGATATGATGGGCCCCTCATCCGTTCGGCGAACCGATATTATGTGCTAGGGCGGGCGCGTGTGGTACACGTGTTAGGCTCTACCTCCGTCTCTTTGCATGGTATCCCAGAGACCGCGCCTAGCCTATGATTTCTGTTCGTTGCGGGTCAGCTGAGAGCGTACGCAGTTCGCCAGCACAGCTCACCACAAGGTACATGACATCCACATTATGTTATGTTCTTGGAACATCAGCGTCACGAACACGTTGCAGCTTCATTCATCCGGAAATGAAGTCGCTGCTGGAGATTAGGCTCTCTGAGATCATATCTCATGCACAGCCCCCGAGCAGCGCATTCGGAGAAAATAATGGTATTCTGGGTGGTCAAATAGCTTGTATGCAGACGATAGGTAGATATTTTGTGGGTTCGGGCGTCGTCAGGGATGGTGTAGAGGTGGCAGGCATTCCGTTATTCGACGTAGTGAAAAAGAGAAAGATAGAAGTGTTAACGCTCGATATAGTAAAGTATATAGCCACTGAATTCCCACAGTAACAACTTCAACTGACCTCAGCTAATCGAATTCAATTGAGGCGCGGTAACTTAGGCTTTTACCACTTCCACGTACATACTTCAGCCTGCATTTCCTGCTCAGCGTAGGTTTTACACACGGAACGGATCCTGGAGACAGCGTGGCGGGATGCTTTTGGACGTGAATGTGCGTGTATTTCCTCGCTCTTCGTGTGTGGTATGCTGAGTACCCGCTCGCTTGCAGAGAAAGCTGTTTGCGCGGTCAGACCGTGTCAAGGGTGTCGACTTTCACCCCACAGAGCCATGGCTACTCACCGGTCTCTACAACGGAACAGTGAATATCTACAACCACGAGACAGGGGCCCTCGTCAAGACGTTCGAGGTGGCTGAAGTCCCCGTACGATGTGTGCGCTTTATCCCGCGCAAAAACTGGTTCATCGCTGGCTCCGACGACTTCCAGCTCCGCGTATTCAACTACAACACACACGAAAAGGTCGCTGCTTTCGAGGCGCACCCTGACTACATTCGATGCTTGACAGTACATCCGACTGCAAGCATCGTCCTAACCGGAAGCGATGACATGACGCTTAAGGCATGGGATTGGGACAAGCAATGGCGCTGTATTCAGGTGAGTAGCGAATGTAGATCTCGAGGGGAATTTGAAACCAACATTGGTGACGATTTGTAGACGTACGAGGGTCATACACACTATATCATGAACATTGCCGTCAACCCAAAGGATCCGAATACCTTTGCTTCGGCGTGTCTCGACCGGACAGTCAAGATGTGGTCACTTGGCTCTCCGACAGCCAATTTCACTATGGAGGCACATGATAAGGGTGTCAACTACGTTGAATTTTATCCCGGCGCCGACAAGCCATACCTCGTGACGGCCAGTGATGATAAGACAGTCAAGATCTGGGACTACCTCAGCAAGAGCTGCGTACAAACCCTAGAGAGCCATACCAACAATGTCCTCTTTGCTGTCTTCCACCCGAGCCTACCGCTCATCGTCAGTGGTGGTGAGGACGGTACCGTCAAGCTTTGGAACAACGGCACGTACCGCCTCGAGAACACCTTGAGCTACGCGCTTGAACGTGCATGGTGTATCGCCCTGCGGAAGACCACGAATGAGATTGCCATCGGTTACGACGAGGGTGTCGTGGTGGTCAAGGTAGGCCCTCTTGCTTTACACCGTGCATTGTCGGACTCAGATCTTCTTAGCTCGGCCGCGAAGAACCCTCGTATAGCATGGACCTCTCTGGCAAGCTGATCTACACGCGGAAACAACGCTGTGCTCTCTGGCAACCTGCAAACGATACAGGACGTCGCTATCGC